CAATTAAATTACACACTCTCTGACTGCAGTTCAATTACTCACTACTTCCCCGTCGCTTCGTGGCCGGTCTTATATATGCAAGACTAACACATATCTAGTAAATGCTAGGGCATTCATGAAGGAACAGGATATTTCTAGAAACAGGTGGCGTGATAGTAGTCACGTGACCTTGCTGACGCAACACTAGGATGAGAATTGGATCAAAGGTCTTATTCGACTGCTGCAACTCCTAACAGACAAACTGTTTGCTGTGGTTCCTGCATCAGTTCTTGCCCCCCTCCGACGATAGTTCTTATAACTGCTGAAGAACTACAATGGCTGTTCAAGAATCTGATAATGGGAATTTCGAATTTCATTTCCAGCAATTGCAGCTAAGTAACCTTCTGCCTCCAATGGAATACGAACGGGACATTCAATTTAATTTTCATTGTTCACCTCTGCTCAGCCAATTAAAGAAGAGAACTTGTTCAAACTGTGGCATTTACCTTTCTTCTTAGGTAGCTCTGAGGAGCCACAAAGAGGTCCGTAAATTCCTAAGTTACTCTTTTTCTAAACCAGACAAAGACTGGGCCATGGAAGGAAAAGTTGGTGTTGAAGAAAGTGAACTTGTCTAGCTCAAGCAACTTTCTATGAGAAAATGACAGTCTTTCATGGAAACATTTTAAAAACATACCAAAAGATTTTTCGTTTTGCGATTGTGAATAATTTCTTGAAAGGGGTTGCTGATTTGGCGATCTTAATTCGCAGTTTTAGTTGTGTATAACTCAAGTTTTCGAATTGAATCATAACATTTGAAAACAAATAAGAATTAAGATGGCTAAAAAGGCGTCTTGTGAAAATTACACATAGTTTAACTAGTAATTATGTGGTCAACTAGTGGTCACAGCCGCCAGATGGCAATTCTGTATTTGGTCACTACTGATCATGACACATACATGGTTGGTCGAAAATGGGTAATAAGTTTTTTTTTTACCACGAGATACACCGAGAATCTTCCTGATCTTGAGCAAGGAGGTGACGCTACATCAGTAAAGCTATTAAAAGGCTGACTCATTGTAGGACTACAGGTGCTGCCCTCTGTTTTAGTAGTATTTCTTCTTCGTGTTCATTCCTCCGTTCTTTCGTTATTCACGTGGAACGGTAGAACAATTCCCTAACTATTATTTCCTTATTCCACGTTCGTGTAAAGCTAAACAGCCAAAAGGATCAATCTACGTTATTTTTCAAAAATTACAAGTCATTTTTGAAATGGGAAAAATAAAATGTAAGCTGTAAATTTTATTTTGGTTAAGAAACATTTGGTACTTCGTTATTCAGAATAATTTTACTTTACAGACATTTATAATTTCAAAACAATATACAGGTGTTTCTATTTACAGGTGGGCCAGTCGTCGAAATCAAAGGTGATGAAATGACAAGGTGAGAAATTTTCCTCTTACATATTCTTTAACCGTTCGTATATGTATATAAGGATGCAACTGCAGGAAGATAACTACTGTACTGATGCACTACCCATATATTTCATCTGACATTGTTAATGTTAATTTGTTATATAAAATACGTACAACTTACACTGTAGTAAATCGTGTGGTTATTATTATTAATGTTAAATGTTGACAATAACAGGAAACATGATAATTTGGACAACCATGATCTTTAGTTTTATCAAAAACGGTAAATTAGGTAGGTGGTAATAACTGATATAATTAATGGAGAAAAGGGAATTGTAGCTATTACCTTTTTTGTGTGTTAATTCTCGTAACATAATATATTTTTTTTTAACTTGTAAGGGATGTCTAGATATGGTGAGAAATTGTGGAAAGTTGTGAACAATAAAATTTTTGTTTCTTGGCAGTTTAATTTCAGATGTGAGTTTTAAATGTTTATATATTTTTAAAAATTACAAATGCCAGAATTAATATGAACTGGTTATGTATTATGTATAAAAATGCTAGATAACACAAGCTTTATATGTGGTAAAATATATTTAATCTTTGTTGTAAAGAGTAGAGGTAAGCTAAGAGAATGATTTCTGACTAATCATATGCGATACAAAGTGTGAAGCTAAACACAAGCACTTGAATTTGTTTTTTTATAGAAACTAAATAAAGGGGTTGGAATAAGGAGCTTATAATAGAAAGGATATTGGATGATCTGTTTGTTGTAGCTTGTTAGTTTTTAATAAGTTATTGTTACAAATGTTAACTTCAATGTACAGATAAAGGTAATTGTGACAAGCTTTGAAAATCAAGTATGATCAATTTGCAAAATGATTTCCAAAGGGACATGGTATATTCAGTTATTGTTGGTTGTTGTGAAAGAAATAAGCATAAGGCTGATGAAAGTTTTATTTATTTGAGGCATTATGAGAAATGTATTAAAGATCCTCTTTAACAGTGTCTTGCATTCATTTGGTTTCACTAACTATTATATAGGTAAGCATAATGTGCTAGAGAATAGAAGGAATTAAAAAGGGGGTCTCAAATTGTTCAGTTTAATCAGTAGTTTTGTATCCATGGCTTTAAAGTTCAGTAAAGTGAATTTAAGTACAGAAAATGTTGCATGTAAGTAAATTGGCAATGTTATTTTTCTTTACAGAGTATGGCTGATGTCAATGGGTTGTCTGGGCTTTGGTTATCCACATTTTTTTTGATATGTCCAATTTATGTTAAAATTGTAACTTTTTATAGGTAAATATTTGGTTAACGAGAGCATGGAAGAAACTCTGGCTGGTTGTCACCATTTCTTGTCCCTAACAATGTAATTCTTAGAAAAAGTTAAAACCCCATGTGCTTCTAAAACTTCTATGCATTTCTTAAACACATATCAAATACAGTTATATATAGATTTCCATGTTTAAAAATCTCATCCTGTAGTGTAATTCCTAAAATTGAATACAAGGTACATAAAAATATTCAAGTAACAAATTTTTTGTATACTTTGAACAGGTCATTACAGTAACTATGATGTAATTTTTTTTGTTGTTGTTGTCAACAGAATTATCTGGGAGCTTATAAAAAATAAGTTATTGTTTCCATTCTTGGACATGGAGATTCATTCATTTGATCTTGGGATTGAAAATCGAGATGCAACTGATGACCAAGGTAAATTATTGTTTTAAAATAACTGTTTTGAATTATAAATATATTTTTTTAAAAATCTAATTTAAATGCAGTATGTAAAAAGGTCAAAAGGCTGGAATTATTTCTAAGTTGAAGAACATTTAGATTAGCCAGTGAATGAAAGTGGAGTGATAGTGAGGTTAGCCCTGGTTTTTCATAAATCCTTGTTCCTACTGTTTATGTAGTATTATCAGTACTTTTAAATGGATATAGGTTTATTGATGACTTTTACTACAAATTATTGGATGCTGAATGAACTGTACAGTTATATTTTTGAGCCTAAATGAAAGAAAAAATGTGAGGTAGAAGACTTCATATTTAACAACTTTGAATATTTTAATATTAAAAAGAGGATTTATAATAATGTAAAGGACCAAAATTATCTTGTTCTGTTTGGTGTCTGAAAACCCAATCCGATCTGTTTTATTAAGATATATATATGTATAGTTAATATTTGATTTTAAAATCTGAGTATATAACTAATTGGTAAAGTGCTGTTATATGAATATTAATCCAGGTGTACTTTGAACCCAAACATTAGTGAGATGCTGGAGTTAGTAAGTAAAAAAATGTCAACTGGAACTAATTCTTTGTCAGAAGTACTCCTTTATTAGAATTATAAAATTGTCGAATGGTTTGTCTGATGGTATTATCTGTATTGTTATTCTAAATTTTAGTGGATAAGTACATATATGTAAAGAATTAATTTTATATGTTGAATGACCTTTTGTCACCAACCTCACTCTTGTCTTAATAAAGTATTTAAAATTTAAGGTAAAATTTATTGGTCTAAGTAAACATTTATAATTCCCATAAATCATTTAAAAGCTTTAAAATTGCAAATTGAAGGTTTATAAAGTTACAAGAGGAATATACTGTTATTATATTAAAGAACAGTTTAAACAAGCTAACAGTTGATTAAACAGATAATATACAATATTCTACAAAGTGAAAAAATCTCAATAGATGGTATATTTTTTCATGTTTAGTTCATAATAGATGATATTATATAATGCTTGTTGTGATTTAGTGACCATTGACTGTGCTCATGCAATACAAAAATACAGTGTTGGGATAAAGTGTGCCACTATTACTCCAGATGAAAATCGAGTAGAAGGTATGTTTTATTTTTTTATACTTAGATTATCACGTAATGTAAGTGGAAAAACAGTTTATTTTTAGTAATTGATCATTTTAAATGAGGATGATTGAGTGATTCTGCCTTTTTTCATTTACTTTATTAATCCAACATTTAAATTACATTAAAGTGTAATACACAAAAGTAACATGGGTAACAGCTTATTAAGTTTTAAGATAATTACTTCTTGAAGCTGCAAGATTTCTGTACTCTATTCATGTAATTTCTTATCACAAACTTGAACAATCTTTAAGTTGTAAAATTGTTTCTCGCAAATTATGAAAAAATTAATTAACAGAGAATTTAATTTATTTTAACAATAATACCAAATATCATATGTTGAACTTATAATGTTTTCAAACATGTTTCCAATGTTTTTTCTTTGTAATATGAAAACTAGAACAATTCATTTTGAATTAATAATAATCAGAAAAAAAATTCCTTTTTTATGTAAAAAGATATATATAATAATGTATTTGGTAAAATATAAAATAAAACATACTTCAGAAGCTTTAACATAGACCTTTTTGAAAAAAAAAATATAGTAAAGAAAGAGTACAAACATTAGCCAAGTATGACTATCTTTGGCTATTTAAGATTCATAAATTTCAGCAGAAGCTCAGATGAGTAATATCCTCTTCTTAAATTTAAATTTGGGTTTGATAACTTAGATTTAAGAAGCAACTGCCTCAAAGTAGTTGTTGAGACATGTATGTGAATAGGGTTGTAACAGGGCCTTGTAGTAATTTTTAAAAGTCACTAGCACATTCAGGGTAGTGACAATAATAGATCAGCAGTCCAGGGCTAGTTATACAGGATTTTGTTTTATTTGCTAATAGAACAAAGTGCACACAAAACATGAAAATTTCTTATGTTCTTGTATGTTTACTTTCAGAAATTAATTTGCAAAAGCGTTAAACCCAAGACTGTTATTGTTTCCATTGAAGTCATTAAAAAGAAAGCTACATCAAATTTTCAAATGCTAAATAAAACAAAATAGTCAACCTTTTAGTATAAGTTTTAACTCTTTAGTACAAGTTAATTGGTGTTACAGTTAAAGACCAAAATGCATTGCAAAAGCACTTTAAAGGTTAAGGGTGTGATTATAGTTGAAACGTCTTTAAAAAAAGTGTATAATGATCGAATGAAAAATAAAAACAAAGTTATTATTTTACTGTCAGAAAGTAAAATTAGAGACTGAAATTGTAATTGAACTATTTTCATTGAGACTTGTTGAGGCTTTAACCTGGTCATATATTTTAAAACTAAAGCTATGATATTTGCACACTGTATTTTGTTTTAAGGCTTAAAAGCTACAGATATCTCTTTTAGACCATTAAAATGTTCAAAATCTAAATATTATAAGTATAATGTACATGTGTCCAAAGACCCTTTGGTAAAATACTGTGATTGTAGGGTCTTTGAAACAATAAATTGAGCAATGTACCTTTTCTGATTTCAGAAATTAACAATTTGAGCATGCTGAGTGTTAGAAATTAATATCAGAGTTTTACTATGAAAAAGCAACAAATCACTTGTGAGTATATCCATACGTCAAAAATAAAACACATACTCAATATTAAGCTACTAGTCGAAATGCATTCCTTATTTGTTCCAGACTATTAGGATAGCTTTAATGTCGAGCCCTGAGTAAGTGCATTATCTATGTTATGATAATAACATAAATAAATTGGCTTTCCCATTTTGATGACATATTTTTTATATCGTATAATTCACACATCCATATATTTTTTTGTTTTACTTTATACTCCATATGTTATTACAGTAATTTGCTTATATATCTTACAGTTGTCTTTTACTGGAAAATAAATTTCTCCTGAAAGTTGGATGGGATAACTAAAGTTTATTTCCATGTTTTATGACAACTGTCTGTGAATCGTTAACTATATGTAACTTCAAGATTCAGTTTCATATTTCATGTAGAGTTCAAGTTAAAGAAAATGTGGAAGTCACCAAATGGAACAATTAGGAATATTCTAGGTGGAACAGTTTTTCGGGAAGCTATTATCTGTAAAAACATTCCTCGTTTAGTCCCAGGGTGGAAAAAACCCATTATTATTGGTCGTCATGCATATGGAGATCAAGTAAGAGATGGGTTTGTAATGAATTTTTTTATTTTGTTTGCTTGAAGATATATATCATGTTCTGTTTTGTTTCCAACTTTTTTTTAGTCTGTATTATATTATAAAGAACATGGTATAAGGCAAATGTTTTTGGTAATTGAATTTAATAAGGTGTATAGTGTCTTTCCAGTATTTAGGAAAGATACATATTACAATTAACATATTTTGTATATCAGAATAACCAGTTTAACTTTAATATTTATACAAGTAGAAACTTTGTGATGGAATACTTAAGAACTCAAATAAATTAAATGATTTTATTGTCCATCTCTTCTAACAAACAAAATTAAATAGTTTTTTTTTCAATTAAACTTTACAGATATCTTTGTTTAGGTTTCAAAGTATGCTATTTGTGCTTTACTACAAACAGTCTGATAGTAATTTGGTAGTTGTAACTTAAAACTATTTTATTCAGTGGCACTCTATAAACTTTGCTTTGGAAAAATCATGCTCTGGTATATTGGATCTTGTTTCTCTCAGTACAAGGCCACAGACTTTGTTGTCCCTGGAGTGGGAAAATTAGAAATAAAATTCACACCATCTGATGTAGGTGAACCCATTTGTCACACAGTATTTGATTTTCAAGATGGTGGAGGAGTAGCTCTTGCCATGTACAACACAGATAAGGTAAACTATGAGATATTAAGTAAAATCTAAACAATAAGCATAACTTAACTACATAATATGGATATATTAGAGTTGGCTACTTTTATAATTTAAAATTGTTAGAACATTAAAGGTTTTTTAGTGTAATTTAGGAATATTTTTATCGATAAAGTTCTTCTTTTATTCTAATTCTATAACAAATGCTATAAATTCTATAACAGTGAATGCATTTCAGTAACAACATACTAAAATTTTGGTGAATCTACTTATAAGTCAATTTAGTATATAATATTAAGCTTGTCTTACTAGCAGGTGAATTATGACTGTTCAAATCTTTGACAGAATCCTTGAACATGTTCCTTTGAAATAGTATTAAAATCCCTTTTGTTTACAGTTTTGTAGTATGCCTGTAATGTTTTGAATTATGATATGAATTTTTGATACTTATTTATTATTAATTTTGTGTAGTTTGGAAAAAATAATCACTGTTTTTAATTACAAATGTAATCTAATTTCTACAGACTTGTAATAATAATAACAATAGTTTTTCATCTGTTTACAAGTCAATAAGAGAATTTGCCCACAGTTCATTCAAGTTTGCACTAGAAAAAGGATATCCACTTTATCTGAGGTAAGTACAATTTATAGATTTTAAACGTTACAGTATTGCAATAAATTTGATTGAGGTGAATTAAAAACCAGCCCTAAATTTAATTGTTTTGATCCTCTTCAAATATTTTCCCCTGAAAATTATTGAATAGAATTTTAATTGGGTTGAAAATATTATTTGCAGTTGGTCACCTATTTCTTAAAAATGGGATGATTTGTATTGATATTAGGTGTATTGAAATATTTCATTACACTTGTTAACTTAGACCGATATTTGAATAACATTTTTTATCTCAGATTAATAATATTCATCCTGTAACTTTTATTTACATAGAGGTTATAAATAATTATTAATATTGGTTCTTATTTATTGTTTGGCACAGTTAGTGTTTCCATAAAATATGTTTTTTTTCAGCTTAATAATATTTAAAATGTAAACCTTATAAATAAATAAGTTCAGGTTTCTGTTGACTAGAATTTGATTTAATTTCTAACTTTTTAGAAACACTACAGCATTTTCTTATCATACTGGTACTGTATCTTAATTTACAATAATCTTAAGATGCAATTTCATATAAAATCCTATCACGTATATGCACTTAATTTTACATTCATCATAAAATAACAGCTTATTCATTTACAATTTAAGAATTTATGAACTATAATGAGTCTTATTTTATTTAGCATTGCTTTGAAACTAATTTTTATCTTAGTCTTTAAAGAGTATTAATATATACATTTCATTACTTTCTTTAAAAATATTAGTACAAAAAATACAATCTTAAAGAAGTATGATGGTCGTTTTCGTGACATTTTCCAAGAAATATATGAGAGGTAGGTGTAAATAACTTTTGAATTTGAATTGTATGTTGAGATTTCAATATGTGCATTAGATAAAGAATATTGCTTATGGATGTTTTAGGTTTATGAGATTGTAATAAAAATCACATAGTTGATAAATAAAGTTAACTTATATTTTGTGAATCTTACCCTAATTAGCTAAATGTTCACAGGGTTGGTCCAATTGACTGATCCTATATTAGAGAAGTATTTTTGATTATAATTCCAAATTTACAAAGTACATCTTAATGAAATTTGGCAAGCTTCTATTCAATACTAAAAGTCTGTTGTTCACAAGAAATCAGATATGTTACTAAAGATATGTCTGTGAAATTCCAAAGTCATTCTGCCAAGTTGGAGTACAAGGTGACGTCCATCATAAAGTTCTACGACCTCCTAATTGGGATATCTGAACTTTTCTCAGTTTCTCCTTGTATTGTATCAAGTATTTTCTTGCTTTAACACAAACTGTTGCAAAATCAGCAACATAAGAGTTAAGCCTAAATTACCAGGGAGATCCATAAGAACCCAACTGTTTTTTAAATACATTTCTTAATTTGCTTGTGGGTCCATGACTGTTGATTATAGGGTCTCATAACACTTGGGTCACACTCAAAAAAATTAAATAAAAATGTAATCATTATTGCAGTTAATCCCACTAATTACTGTTCATGTTTCCTTTATATTTTACATAGAAAAATGATTTTATCTAATTGTTTTAGTCAGTTCTTTGCATTAGATGTTTTAATATGCAAGAACATAAATATGATACACCATATATGTGGATCACAATTATATTCATTACACAGGTTTTAAGTAACGTATTTAGAAAAATGTTAAACTTTCATCATATTTTAAGTAAAACAGGTTATTACTGTAGTGGCAATACACATAAAAGCTAGTTATCCAAACTAAAAAAATGCTTTATCCTTTGTGTGATATTGTACTATGATGTTTAAACTAGAGACTACAGAAAGCAGTATGAAGTCAAGGGTTTATGGTATGAGCACCGGTTGATAGATGACATGGTAGCCCAAGCCCTGAAGTCTGAAGGAGGATTTGTTTGGGCATGTAAAAATTATGATGGGGACGTTCAGTCTGATTCAGTAGCTCAAGGTAAGTTATAAATATTGCAAATAGTAATCTACCACTAAAATTCAGAACTAATAAAGTGATTAGAAAAAAACAAACCTTCCAGTAATGAGGTAAAGTTGAACAAAACAAACACAAAAACACACTATTAATAAAAGGGTAATATGTCATAAACATAAACTGCATTGAGAAAGAATTATAAAAAAAATTCTTTTTATTTTTAGGATAGAGAAGTGAAAGTAACAACTATCTAGTTTTAAAAAAAGCCATAGATGTAATATATACTGCAGAAACATGACATTGCAGATAGAATGCTCTTCTTCAGATGCATAAAAACCACAAGGAACAAAATGTTAAATTCCATTATACTACACAACAATACCATGAACATTAGAATACATAATACTAATAGGCTTCATGGCCAGGTGGTTAGGGCACTCGACTTGCAATCTGAGAGTTGCGGGTTCGAATCCCTGTCCCACCAAACATGCTCATGTGACGGTCAATCTCACTATTTGTTGGTAAAAGAGTAGCCCAAGAGTTGGCGGTGGGTGGTGATGACTAGCTGCCTTCCCTCTTGTCTTACACTGCTAAATTAGGGATGGCTAGCCCTCATGTAGCTTTGCACGAAATTCAAAAATAAACAAACAAAACTAATAGGCTTATGGATATTAGTAGAGAATGTCTTATATTTTCACATTGTTGTTCAGTAAATGCAATAAAATCATCACATTTTGAAGAATGAGGCTGTCTTGTTGTCAATGGTGCCTAGCGATAACAAATTCTTACAAAGAAACTTAAAACACCAAATTGTTACTTAATGAAGAATAAAATTATCTCTTGTTGATTTGTTCTTAAGGTAGAATATAAAAAAGTATTTATTTCATCATTAAAGAGCCCTTTCTAATGTTAAATTTTTTACTGTTCAGTGATAACAATGGAATTGTTTCTTTGTTCAAAATGTTGCATAAAGTATGCCTGTAGGAGCAGGTTACTCGACTGATAGTTTGTAGTAAGTAGATAGATTAAAACTAGTATAAAATATTTAAGCAAGATATTTATTTTTGCTAAATCTAATGATGTTTATTAGAGAGAAATAGATATTTAAAATATTGTGTGTGTATATATACATTAATTATAAATAAGAAATTAATTAAACATGGTAAAAATTACAGAAGGATAAAATATTTCATTATTTCATATGTAGGTAAGTTGCTTCACTTTTATAATTTGTTGGGATATTTGATGGTAAATGGCTTGAAGAAAAAGTACTAAAGATATCATTTTGAAGAAACCTTTGCCCAGAGATTGTTATGTAATGTTATATAAATATATTTCCATTTCTTATTTCATATAAAATTGATTCATTTTCGTAAGTAGATTATTCACATGTTACTGTCAACTTTGAATATTTATTAACAATCTTACTAGAATTAGGATTTTGAAGACATGAAAGTTTACATGATTTCATTCTTCAGGTTATGGTTCTCTGGGCATGATGACAAGTGTACTGATGTGCCCTGATGGAAAGACCATTGAAGCTGAGGCTGCCCATGGTACAGTCACACGACATTATCGACTTCATCAGCAAGGAAAAGAAACATCCACCAATCCTATAGGTGAGAAGAAATGTGTCGTGCTTTTGTGTTTATAACCGAGTTGTGAAACATTAATTTGATTATTTACTCAATATGAAATGTGTACTGTTTGTTCTATTGAATAAAGAAAAAGCTGTGGATGACTTCACATTAGTTAATACAATGGACCAAACTAAAATTGACATTATATTATACTGGAAGGTTTAATTTTCAATATTCATAGTACTCCTAATCAGAAGCAATTCCCAAGATTCTGTATCAGTCGTCTAAAATATAAAGTGAAATTTACTTAATACTGATAAGTGTAAAAATGTTTAAATATTTATTTTTAGCAGACTTTCATATTCTGTGCTCAGGCAAGTTATACAAGGTCATCAGAACTACAATATGAAGAACTTTAACATTTGATAATAAAGAATATAAACCACTGCTACGGAAAAGATTTAAAATTGCATCCTAAGTATACTAGCTACAGTGTTCCTAAAATGTCAACAATTACCAGTTACCTAGAGACTTAGCAAGTTGTTTATAACTAGTCACCTATATAGGTTGTATCCTAATACTACAAGGACAACAACAAAACATATGGAAGGAAGGGAGTGACTGCTATTCAATATCTCTATAAAAAACCAGGATATTATCTTCCTTTTAATTCCAATACTTTTATCAAACTTTCAGAAGAATGACAGTTTTTGTCACCTTCATAAACCACCCCAGATTTCAACCTTTTTTTAAAACCATTTTACAGCTTTATAACAATATGCCATTCTTATTTTAGCTATATCAAAAAGTTCTATTTAGCTGACAGACTATTCCGTAATTACCGTGTTTTAAGAATTAAGTGGATATTTTTTGATTATATGTTACAAAAAATTTGAATCATTTAATCTTCACTTTACGAGAGTTTCCTACCTTGCATCTTTCTTCAAACTAGAGTTTCTCACAGTGTAAAGTTTTTAATTTTGCATTTCTGTTGATGTCAGTTAATATAATTGTACTTGGGTTTAATATTTCAGCATCTATCTTTGCCTGGACTCGGGGATTAGCTCACCGAGCGAAACTTGATAATAATAGTGACTTAGCAAAATTTGCTAACAGCCTTGAAAGTGTTTGTATAGAAACCATTGAGGCTGGTCACATGACCAAAGACCTGGCTATCTGCATCAAAGGACTCAACAGGTAAGCTCATATTAAGTTTTATAACTGAGAAGCTGAGGCTGTTCAATGACCAAGGGTCTTGTTCTGTCTCCAAGCTTGTTCCTTAACAGATATGAACAGTGAAACTCTTGTTAATAGAGTTCTTTTACAAAAAAAAATCAACCCATTAAACCTTCTGTTTAAAAACGTAAGGAACCTAACTCTATATTTCATGACTGTAAAATATTTTTCATATGCAAGGACTAGGCAAGGCCTAATGAGTTAGTGTGCTTGAATTGTGGATTCGAGGGTTCATGTCTCTTGCTACAAAAAGGCATTATTGCACTATAAAAATGATGGTCAAATAAGAGTAGCTTAACAATTGCTAGTAGGCTTACCTTAAGTGTATCAGTTACAATGTTAATAGCCCATGGTATCATATATATTATCAACACATTAATCTATTAAGTGCATAATGATTATTGACAGTCATGAATATATAATAATAGATTATCTGTGCTAGGATTGGTATACAAGTTTATCAAGATGTATATGTTACATATGACAGTTAAAGCAAAACAGCTTTAGATTCAATTTTCTCGTCGTGAGGTGAAGTTGTATCTTTCTGGCTAATATTCAAATTACTAATTACATAAAATATTTATTTCTCTATTTTTTTGTAATAACTTTCATGCTATTTTTTTACAGTGTTACTCAAAGTGATTATCTGAACACCTTTAAGTTTTTAGACAAGTTAGCAGAAAATTTGACCAAGAAGTTAGAGCACTGACTAGAATAAAGCCTTACAATGTGACTTCTAAACGGTGAAGTTGAACATCATTTGAAGTAATCAGTATTGACTTTGTTTACAAAGGAGTATTTCTTTAAACTTCGAAGGATTTGAATGTATACATTCCTTTAATCTCAACTAAAGCTTGATTTAACCAAGTGTAATATTTATATATATATATAATTATCAGTGATGGAAATCTAATTTCAAATGTACATTGTTCTATCTAATAATATTGCAAGCAAAATATTTTGGTTATTTTAAAAAATGGTGAAACATTTATGGTAAAAACGGGAGTCATTACTTTAGTTCTTTTTTTAACATGGGTATTTACATAAGATTAAATGTGATATTTTGAACATTGCAGGACTGTTTATATTTGTTGAATTCTTTCCTGTGTGAGCCTGGCTTCATTTACAGTCCTTGAAACAACATGTTTCAGCAGAAGTATTTATCATGGAATTTACGTAATTTTTACATCTGTGATTGTCAAACAACATCATCTTACTATGAAAGTGTGTTGACAAAAAACACTAAGCTCATTAACATCTTTTGAAACTATTACATATTTAATAACTAAATGGCTTGTTTACCAAAAGAAGCCATCTGCATAAAGAACAAAATTCTTACACAGCCTGTTATCAAAGAGAACAAAATGAACATTACTAATACTTACAACAAATATATTGTACATTCTCTAAGTGCAAAGCCTGAACCCGTGGCTGCTATCACAATGTTTATTTGTTTTGATAGTTTTTGTTGCTATTGAGTCATTGTAATTTGTTCACAGATATTTTGTTTGTATTAATATAAAGTTACACAACTGGCTACCATGTGAAATTTAATCTTGTATTTTAGTGTTGTCTGTTTTTTTGGGTCAAGTGTTTTGGAATTTCTAGTTGTTTTTTTTTCCTTTCTTAAAAGAAAAATAATATTACTCCAAGACTAGGGCTTCTGTTACCCTGACTTATAAGACTGCCCCACAATTGGGCATACTTTACATTCTTTAAATTTTGTTTGCTTAAAAAAGAAAGGCTATTTCCATCTGATCTGAATAAACAAGAAATGAATACTGTGGCTAATTCTGAAGAATTTCAAGACTTGACAGTCATGATTTTTCAGGTCCAATTGCCTCAACTGCACACCATCACTTTAACAGGAGGTTCAGATGCCTGGATCATAAAATATAGTCCCAGTTTTAATTATTGCTTGCCAGGTTGCTAATTGAACAACAGTCTGGATCGTGAGTCAGACACAGTGGATGCAAGTTCTGTTTTGGCTGATCCCACAACAAATGCAGAGCATTCAATGGCTGTAGCAGCTCTGGCTAGTTTTAATTAATGGAGCCTGAGTTGAGTCTGGTCACCAGCTTACATCTAGGAGGTAAAATAGTCATCATCTAGTACATAACCTCATATTTGTGTACATGTTTAAGCTCCTAGTGGACACTGGAGTATCCAAGAACATATTTGACATTTCTGTGAATCAGGTACTCAGAATGAAGACACAAATTTAACTAGCAAATATGTACTTCATTTTGGCAAATGCTAACAAGCCAGATATGAATGGAGAGGTTATCTCCAACATTGTCTTGACAATTTCACTTATCTCTGATCTTGTTTCAAAAATTGGTATCTTGGAAAAACAATACCCCATCATTACCTAGACACGGGGGTGTGTGTGTTCATTAAAACAATCAATGCACAGACTTTCTCGGAGCCCCATGAACATTGTCAGTACTGAGATAGAGTGAATGTTGAAGAACAGAATAATTCAACTATCAGAGAACACTTTTTTCCAGTAGTCATTGTTAGGATGAAAGAAGGAATGCCAAGGTTCTACATGGACTTCAGGCTGGTGGACTTAGTAAAACATTTTTCATTTGCTTCTGAAAACCTGGGAGTAGTATTTCTGTGTATCAAAGATGCAGGTTTAAAAGTGAAACCAGGGAAGAGGAATTTACTTATCACACAAAAGGCAAGAATAAAATGACCACTGTTTCTGCAAGGATCACCATGGTCAAATACTGGAATAATCCTGAGATCAAATAAATGTCTACATCTAAATTTTGTGTCACACTATGGATGTAGTTCATTTTTCCAACATTGTCTGCACTGACTAAACTTGTATGTACATTGGGTGGACACAAAAAGGTGAGCTTATCCTTGTTCAGGCTGTCCATTCAACCTAGATACTAATGCCAGTGATAATGGAAGTGTCACAACTACAGATAACAGCTGCTAAACTCTGATGCTGAGAGATTAAGGAACTGCTGTAATTTTCAAAACATTCTGCCATTATTTTGATGGTAAGAAGTTCACTATTCAAATAGTCCATGCATCACTGAAACTACTTATGGACTTCATAACTCTGACAGGTATGAGTGAGCATGTTATTTTTGCCAATTGGTGAGAAAAGATCCATGAATTTCCACTTCAGAGGTACGCAGCTGTACATTAAAAGATATTACAAAAAAGTGAAACTAATGTTCAAACCTGGCAACTGGATAAAGCTACTGTCATTGCCGCAGCAAGTAAACAACTCAGTTCTGACTGGACTGGTCTGTATCCTGTGTGTGGTCAGCCCATCTGGGTGACCTATGAGATGAGATTTTTATGACATGTGCAAGTGCACTGAATATGTGGATAAGTCAAGGCTCTCTCTGTAACTGGTTACTCCAGAAATCAGATGTGGATGAACAAGTTGACCTTGATAGTAAGAGCAGTATGTTGTATGATGAGGAAACATCAGTAGAGACTTGATTTGACTGCTATGATGAAATATGACATCAGGGGTGTTGTGCTGCCAGAGTTATGCTGCAGCACTGAAAATTGGACCTAGGTCCCAACACTTCAAAAAAAAAAATGTCTTTCATAACCAAAGTGTCAAAGAACACTGGTTATTTGTGATCTCTTGTGTTGAAATCTCTGCCCTCCAAGCACACATTCTATCACTGTCTCTTAGAAGCTGGTGTCTAGCAACCACGCTGGCTGAAAAGCAGTTGGCAAAGCATTAAAATGTGAATTTTGTTTTGTCATACAACTATGGTATTAAAACACTTGATAAACTTTTACAGTTATACTTTGTGTTTAAAATGTACACATTTTTGAAAGGCTTGTTTTTAGTTACACGTCTGACAGGTCTTCAGCACCACACCACTAACTGATATGGCTGTGGTTAACTGCTTGATCAGCAGTTAGAATGGAAAGGAGAGGTAGTAGTAACCCCCTTGCTTTCCAATCTATCAAGTGATGTTTAGTAACAAGACCTAAGTGTGGTGTCTTGCAATAGTATTTATCTAATGAGTTACAGTGATCACTAGATAAACACAGACAAGATATAAGGGTTTGTCAAGTAAGATCATAGCAGTTGGTTTTGACTACTTATGTCACTAGCAACTCTGATATTTCTTGGTGTTGAAAGGAGTGAAATCCTTGCTTTTTTGAGCACTTGATAGGGGCAGATCCAGACCTAAATACTGACCTTTTTCCTCACTGATACTTACAGACCATGTAAAAAGTCAAACATTTTCCTACATATCTATTCAACTATGAAAATGACTGTTACTAACAAATCGAAAACAACTCAAATGTTTATGTTTAGCACATTTACTTTAGTTTATTGAAACTATTTTAAATAAATGTATCTTGATTTCAATGGTTATAAGAACTTCTGGTTGTGACAAATACACATTTTAACCCATTGACTGCCGACTCACCGTATATAGTACGGTCCACTTCCAGCAGTTGAATGCGAGTGCGCTGTATACAGCGTAAAGCTCACAAACATTCTGTGCATGTTTAAAGTAGCTGCAGTCAAAGTGTTAAAGTTTATTTTACTGAATTCTACAAAATGATTACCATTCAAAAATTTAATTTTCTATAAAACAACAATGTAAACCTTGTTAAGTCTTGCAGCAAATTTTAGCAAGTAATCTTACATGTTAGAGGAAACAATTTGCTGTTGTGTTGTGGTGCGAAAGCATACCTATAGATGTTGTTGGTGTAGATTAGTTTCCTGAAGTGCCCCAAACTCAACATGAACTGTATAAGTCATGAACAAGTGTATGTCATTTTGCTATAAAATGCACATCTTAAAATGTATAACAGTGACTATTTCCAATAGATGTCACTACTGCTGTATATATATATAAAACAGGAAAATATTAGAAGTAAACATATCACAAACTAAGTGAACATCTAACTAAATTCTTTAGTCAGTATCTTAATGTTAGTAATTACCTTAATATTAAATCGTTAATTACACATCCCTAGATGAACTGCAATATTACATATCGGGAAGTGCAGTAATATCTAAACACAACACAAATCAAGAGCATTTGGACTTCGCTATATGGATGACAGTTACTCAGCTTTTTACTGGTGTTGTGAATTGATAAGGCTGGCTCTATTCCATGAACTCATTTACTTATGTAGTTGAATAAATAATCTCAGACTTACTCAACCAACTAGTGCTTTCCACATAACTGGTCATTCCCATTCAAACACAAGAGAGGTTGTAATCTTGAGTTATCACTAGACCTATCAATGGAGAACACTGCAGACAACTGTTGCACCAAGGCAGCGAGGTTCTTTACTTGGTTCAAAGCGTTCAAAGAGTCACAGTATCTCCAAATACACAAGTAGTATTCCCTGGTGTACTAAGGACCAAGTCCAGTGTATTTGTCAACATTTGCTATAGTGATGGAAACAGTGGATGCTGAAGGACAGAATCATACAACATTTAGAAAGTGTTTGGTCATAACTAGTGATGAACTTAGAAAGGATGAACTGTGTTGATTTTAGATGTGGTGACCCTAATTACTATTTTTTTTTGCTCTTGTGGACAAACAAATGTCTGGACACACTAGATGGTGCCTATTAGTTCAGCACTTTAGACCTGGATTCTAGTTCCTTCAAGCAAGCCTAACACTGCCATACAAACTCTGCATCATGCCATTTTGCCTGTGTAATGCGTATTACACTGAGAGGGCTACAACAGAAGAGATGCCTGACGTGTGGTCTGCATCTTAAAGCATACATGCCACAATTTCTACAAGAGTATGTGTGATGGATGACGTCTGTGTTAGTTGATGCAAGTGAATTCACACATCAGAAGCTACCATATAGCAAAAGAAATGCCATTACAAGTCAGTGAAAGAAAGAACATTTGAGAATGGAAATAAGGTATGGCTTTAGTATGGGCTTCCACCATGGAAGTAAATTGTTTCTGGCTATACTGGTCCTTATTTCCTTCTCCAAAAACTCAGTCCCTCAAACTATGAGTTCCAGCATTCACGTGGCATGCATAAATGCACTAAACACATTGATAAGCTGAAGCCATACATCATTGATGAATTTCTCACTAACTGGTTAAATCAGGAATCAAAGGTTGATACTGATGAATCAGAAGATAGCAACTGTTGTTTTGTTTAAAAGTACATTGAAACAAAATTTTTTTGTCATTCTCAGAACATATAATAAAAGTCCAATTAATAAATACTAAAAAAGCATAGTCTGTGAGAGATGAGCACGTCAACATGACAAGCTTTAATGCCATCTACCTATAATGCCTTTGTTAGACATGATTTATTTCTTCCTTATCAGACTACTGAATACAAGTACACTGCTTTTAACAGTTAAGCAATAATCCGAGTTTTCTATACTTCAAATACAAGGCACACACTTACTATGTCAATAGCATCTCTGATTTCACTTTAATAGAAACAAGCGTCAGGTAGCTGGTCTGATGTGAAATTTCAGTAGAATATAAAAGCGTAAAGAAGAAAAGAAAGCATGTTTTTAGCAGTTTGAATGACAGCAATATGTGTGTACGTGTAAATAGTTCTGATATTTTTATGAAGTTAAGAGCAACAAGTTAGCTTTAAGTCTGTTAAACACAAAAGATCATTGCAGAGTGATGAAAAGTGTCATAAAGCAAGGTTAACAGGATTTCAACTCGCTTTCAGATTAAATATGTAGTTGGCCAGAGAGAGAGCTGGACATGTGAACCACTGTTGACAATGCCTCCAAGTGACCACTATCTGACAATATGAGCTCAATACAATCAGCAGGACTCAGCTTCTCAGGTGAAATAACAGTTCAAAGCAGCAGTTGAATGATAAATCAGCATGTAAATCATAAGTAGGAAACAGGCTTCATAGGGTTGGTCTTTATGCTAGACCAGGGACTCTCAAACTGATGACTCACCTGAGTAGCCAGTCAATTTTCTGGGACCTATGTTAAACTGGGAAAGATGGGTTTATCCTTCTAATACACACACACACACATATATATATATATATACACAT